TTTGGACTATCAAAGGTTGTCTGTGACATTTCTTCTTCTTTAAGGGTGTATGGTACCTGACATAGAAGTTAAAGTATTTATTACAAATTTGTTTTGATGGAACTCTTTAGAAAAGGAGATTCCCATCACATTAGGTGGCATGGTATATATATACCCTTAACAATATGATTCAAGTAGAAGTTAAGTTTAGTATCTAGAAATTAAATTCAAACTATATATACATAATTTTGTTTATAAGGAAACTTGCCATTGATGTATTTCTGATTTTACCAACTGATAATCACCAAAACCAGGTCTCTTCTACTATATTTAAATGGCTACTTGCTTTCGATAATTACTGGCATTATGGTATTTAAGTGTCGGATAGTATCTTGGTAATGGATGGAGGGGAAGGTGGCTAATAAATTGATAAACAATTAAATCAGCATCAAGTGTGGGTAGCTGTTGCTCCTAATCAATGACAATCACCAACTCTCTCACTGACACCAATCATATGTGACAACTTTTAAGAAAATGCAGGCATGCCAAATTTAATTAGGTATGAGGTTTGTCGGCCAGTAAATCAATAAGGTTGCTTCTAACATGGAATCACCTGTGTCCCTATATATGCCTGTTACAAGGCATTAGTTGAGGAACGTCAAACCAATTATTTACGAAATTTACAGATACCCTGCAGCTGTTTAGCTGTCAGTAAAATGTCACCAACAACATGGACTGAAACAGTTGCTGGTTGACACCTTGACATACTTGTGATTCAGTCTGTGATGTTTCCTACCTCTGTGACATCCTGCTTCATGTATCTATGTTCCCAGTGTGTCTTTGACATCTTGTTAATATGTTCCCAGTGTGTCTTTGACATCTTGTTAATATGTTCCCAGTGTGTCTTTGACGTCTTGTTAATATGTTCCCATTGTCTCTATGACGTCTTGTTAATATGTTCCCATTGTCTCTATAACAGGTCTGATGGAGGTGACAGTACATTTCATACCTGTCATCGAAACATTACGCATTTTGCTTTTTGTGCTACATGAACTTTTCTACATGACATTTCTTCTTTATTAATAATTTCTATCCTTTGGTTTTTGAACTTATTTTTAAAAACAAGTCATCTGAAATCTTTTAAGTTAGTTTTATTCTAAATCAATGAAGAACTTAATTAATTCTCAATTTCTAAAATTTGATACAAGTCCCCAGAACTCCTCTGATAATTATCGGTGAAAATAACAACTTTGTGAGTTTTGATTTCACTAATTAGTCAAAATTCTGTCAAATAATCCTCTTTTAATTATCTGAGATTCTGTTTTGGTTTTACAAGTGTTGTTGGTGGCGAGCATGGTTACAGTGTTATAACTTCGTACATGTTAAGGTAGAGAGCCCCTTCACTTTGCTAAGGTTGTAGACCCTATTTTAAGGGAGTTAGAGCATTTCAATATTGTTCTAAGCATTGTTGTAGAAAAGTGAAAGGATACTTATAAGCTGTTTATAATCTCATCAAAAGGAGCAGAGATGGAATCCCCATTGGAGAGATGTCTTTTTACTGGAGATAAAATACTGATTTCTGGGACATTCCATCTTAACAAGAATAGCATAATTGGTAGGTCTTTTCAGCTCCAGCTGTGCAATTCTCTGACACTCAAGGGAGCCTATATTTGAGGTAATGGGAAACAGCAACCAACTTTCCTAACATATGTGTCCTGTATCCCTCACAATCTGCTGATATCAAGACGGATTTCTCCGATACATTGCAATCCATATCGATTGTGCATGTGGTTAATAGATGTATGTGATGGAGTTCAAAACAACCGAATTTGTCATCAATTAATAAGGATGTATATAATGAAATTTTTGCTGAAGGAAATTAGTTTCCATTTTGTAATCAATGATATATGACCACATTTCTGAATTATGTTGTTTTTCTTCATGGAATTTTTGTCTTTTGGGTGATTGATGACGTATCTGTGAACTTGATTTACTGCCGTGCGCCTTTGGTATCCATTATGAGAGCAGAGCATGTGGCTGTAGCTAAGCTAGACGGGTTTCTATCATGGCCACAAATAACCTGATCCTGTCAATCTGTATACCTAATACTTGTATAAAACTTCCGATGGGCAGAATCTGGAACAGCTACCCAAAATTTATCAATATGTTTGTCATTGATTTATATTTCTCCTCAAAGAACATGTTGCTAGATAGTCATACAAAAGACTGTTTTTGGCTTCTATGAATAGACCTGAGCAATCCCTTTTGGGTCAGCACTTGCCAAGAAAGAAGAAAGAATTCATGCAATGTCATGTGTCACTAGACTCTGCCAGCTGAGAAATTAAATAGCAGGCAATTCACTTTTCAAGTTCAAAAAGCAAAGAATTTATAAGGCAATAATATAACGGTTTCAGATACAAGCATATTCTAAGTGTGTCTTGACTTTGCAAACGAAAGTAGGTCATTTTATGTTGGTCAGCTTTCTGCAATTAGTGTTATTTCAGTTCACATTTAACATTCTTGTGGTCACCATTTCTATGTGTCATTGATGGTCAAAGATTTGTCAGTCCCTAGAGATGGCAACACATTTTATTAAACCTTACAGGCCTCGGATGATCTACATTCATCAATTACCTATAATTGAAAAGAAACCTTGATATATTGATGCGAGCCTAAGGCATGGCCTGGTGTTTTGCACTGATTTAGTGTTCGGAGGGAATGAGTCTGGTACTATCATTGGTGCTGATTGGATAGCATTGATTGTGAATAAAGGATACAGGAACCTGTCATTAACGAATCAATGTTGTTACCTCTTCTTCGCTGGAGATCTCGTTATACAGCCTCCATCCAATCTGCCGTTTGCTGTGATGCAAAAACATTTCCCCGACTCAGATTTATTTTGTGCTGGGATAATCATTTCTATATTTTATATTAATCTGCAATATGTACTCGTTGGGGAAAGTCGATTTAAGATTTTTGGCATAAATGTATGTTTCAGATGCAGCTTTTATATATATCCTTTTATTGTACGTGCCAAAATGTGTGCAGTTTCTGCAGTTGTGTCCATTTTATTCAGTGTGTTAAAACAGTTTATAGGTTTGTGAACATAGTAACTATGACAACTGTATCTAAGACCTATGATGTAATTGATAGGTAACCTGTCTGTTATAATTATGATCCCTTTTGACTACTAAATGTTAGCTGTGACTTCATCACCTCTGTGACTATATTAAATTAAGATCTCATGTAACCTGTGTGACCACGAGATGACCTCTGGCCACTTATGAGCTCTGACTTTACTTGCCCTCTGTGACCACGACATGACCTCTGGCCACTTAAGAGCTCTGACTTTACTTGCCCTCTGTGACCATCATGACATGACCTCTGGCCTCTGGCCACTTATGATGCAGCTCTGACTTTACTTGCCCTCTGTGACCATCATGACATGACCTCTGGCCACTTATGAGCTCTGACTTTACTTGCCCTCTGTGACCATCATGGCATGACCTCTGGCCACTTATTAGCTCTGACTTTACTTGCCCTCTGTGACCATCATGACATGACCTCTGGCCACTTATGATGCAGCTCTGACTTTACTTGCTCTTTGTGACCACGACATGACCTCTGGCCATTTATGACCTCTGACATTACTTGACCTCTGCGATCACTACATGAATGACTGTATTGACCATTATGTGACCTGTGACAATGCTATGGTCTCTGCGACCTCCACATGACCTGTTTGACCTCCACATGACCTATGTGACTATGATGACTGTGATTACTACATTACTCCCCTAACTTGACTGACTAATACATGGTCTGTAACAGCTATAAGAGACTTGTTCTTATGTTGTGACCTTTGTCAGCTGTATTATGTTTGTGGCTACAATGTACCTAAGAACTGTTTTTGATCTTTATAAAGAACACTTGTGTGTGACCTTTATTGGCATCGTTGATATATGTGTGACCTTGATTGGCATCGTTGATATATGTGTGACCTTGATTGGCATTGTTGATATATATGTGACCTTTATTGCCCTCCTTGATCTGTGTGTGATCCCTGTTGACCTCTTTGATTTGTATGCAACCTCTATTGACCTCATTGATTTGTGTGTCCTCTATTGACCTCCCTGATTTGTCTTACCTCTATTGACCTCCCTGATTTGTCTTACCTCTATTGACCTCCCTGATTTGTCTTACCTCTATTGACCTCCCTGATTTGTCTTACCTCTATTGACCTCCCTGATTTGTCTTACCTCTATTGACCTCCCTGATTTGTCTTACCTCTATTGACCTCCCTGATTTGTCTTACCTCTATTGACCTCCCTGATTTGTCTTACCTCTATTGACCTCCCTGATTTGTCTTACCTCTATTGACCTCCCTGATTTGTCTTACCTCTATTGACCTCCCTGATTTGTCTTACCTCTATTGACCTCCCTGATTTGTCTTACCTCTATTGACCTCCCTGATTTGTCTTACCTCTATTGACCTCCCTGATTTGTCTTACCTCTATTGACCTCCCTGATTTGTCTTACCTCTATTGACCTCTCTGATTTGTCTTACCTCTATTGACCTCCCTGATTTGTCTTACCTCTATTGACCTCCCTGATTTGTCTTACCTCTATTGACCTCTCTGATTTGTCTTACCTCTATTGACCTCCCTGATTTGTCTTACCTCTATTGACCTCCCTGATTTGTCTTACCTCTATTGACCTCCCTGATTTGTCTTACCTCTATTGACCTCCCTGATTTGTCTTACCTCTATTGACCTCCCTGATTTGTCTTACCTCTATTGACCTCCCTGATTTGTCTTACCTCTATTGACCTCCCTGATTTGTCTTACCTCTATTGACCTCCCTGATTTGTCTTACCTCTATTGACCTCTCTGATTTGTCTTACCTCTATTGACCTCTCTGATTTGTCTTACCTCTATTGACCTCCCTGATTTGTCTTACCTCTACTGACCTCCTTGATTTGTTTGTGACCTCTACTGACCTCCTTGATTTGTGTGTTGTAGAATGAGGTAGCTGCAGCTCTGGCTGAGGCTGGATTCCCTATCTTCGCCTGGAAGGGCGAGACAGAGGAGGACTTCTGGTGGTGTATTGACAAGTGTATCAACACTGATGGCTGGCAGCCTAATATGGTAAGTGTGCAGTTCAAGGTCGCTGATAGACAGGGTCGCTTAGCACAAAGAGGCCACTTTTGTATGACAGATCACTAGGGTATCCAGTCCTTTATCATGAATATACATTTACGATAAGTGCACAAGTCCTTATAAAAGGACTGTTTGGCTATTCATTCCAGTAGAGGTATGTTCCTGTTAGAGTTATTTTTCGTTAACTTATGTATCATCCTATGTAGAGTTATTTCACTTTAGTGTTAGAAGCTCTCAGAAGAGTTACCTCCCTTACATAGAGTATACCCCCTGAAGAGTAAGTATGAAAACATGAAAACTATTCCTCCACCCTCCTCCCTGTTATCTTGCAGAGTTAAGTTTAAAGCCTCTTCAAAATTGTTATCTCCCTGTAGAATTATCTTGCTAAGTTAAGTTAAAGTCTTTTCTGTGGAGAAATCCACAACGAGAGTTATTTTATGAGGTAAAGTTAGCCTTTCCTATACCCCCTCCCCCTTGAGGGTTATAGTAATTTTATCCTCTCCTGTTGAGTTATCTCCCCAAAGGAGTTATCTTGATGGGTTAGTTATCCTCTCCTGTTGACTTATCTCCCCTAAGGAGTTATCGTGTTGGGTTAGTTATCCTCTCCTGTTGAGTTATCTCCCCTAAGGAGTTATCTTGTCAGATAAAGTTAGCCTGTCTTTAAGAATATAACCCATGTTAATTTGATAGGGGGAGGAGGAGTAAGCATCTCCTCTAAAGTTATACACCCTGCCTTAGCTTCCTTTTCTTTAGAGTTATTCCCCCTGGACAGCCATCTTGCCTTGTAGAATTATACACCCTGCCTTAGTTTCCCTTCCTTTAGAGTTATCCCCCCTGTACAGCCATCTTGCCCTATAGAGTTAGTGAGCTACCCTCTGTTATACACCCAGCCTTAGTTTCCCTTCCTGTAGAGTTATTCCCCCTGTACAGCCATCTTGCCTTGTAGAATTATACTCCCTGCCTTAGTTTCCCTTCCTTTAGGGTTAGTCCCCCCTGTACAGTCATTTTGCCCTGTAGAGCTATCTCCCTGTAGAGTTATACACCCAACCTTAGTTTCCCTTCCTTTATGGTTATTCCCCCTGTACAGTCATCTTGCCCTGTAGAGCTGTCTCCCTGTAGAGTTATACACCCAACCTTAGTTTCCCTTCCTTTATGGTTATTCCCCCTGTACAGTCATCTTGCCCTGTAGAGCTGTCTCCCTGTAGAGTTATACACCCAGCCATAGTTTCCCTTCCTTTAGGGTTATTCCCCCTGTACAGCCATCTTGCCCTGTAGAGCTGTCTCCCTGTAGAGTTATACACCCAGCCTTAGTTTCCCTTCCTTTAGAGTTATTCCCCCTGTACAGCCATCTTGCACTGTGGAGCTCTCTCTTTGTAGACCTCTACTCACAACTTTTTATTATTCAATCAATATATCACTTTCCCATATGGATTTGTCCCCTTTGAAGTGTTTTTCTCTCTGAAGAGGCAATACACATCTTGCCTTTTAACACTATCCCCTGATTATAGGACCAGGTATGCCATACTGTGATTACTGCCTGCTACATGGTCATATCAGCACCATTTCATCGCTCTGTCACCCCAGGTTTATTGTGGTCCCTCTAGGGACAGCCGAGGTTCACTAGCTGTGTATAATACTACTGTAGTAGCGAATTCCAATCTCTCACCAAGCCGATCTATCTATTATTGGACTGGTGCTGTAAACACATACAAACAATAACTGGCCTGCCAGATCACCTTCAAGTTAGGTAGATCCAGTTTGGTAATTAGGAAGAAATGCTGTACTAGATACACATCAACTGCTGATAGAATTTCCCAGCTATTTCTGTGTTAGTGAAAAAAGGCTCAGGATAATTGTTTTTGCAGTCGATTGTCTTGAATAACCTCTAGTTATTAACTTGGGTATAACATTAGATACAGACATGGTCGGGCAGATTATAGCATCTAATCATCTAACATCTAACTATGAAAAAAGAAAATAGGCCTTACCCTCTTAAGAAATCAAAAGGAGTTTTTGTACCCTAATTTTATGGATCATTTTGCAGCTAGCTTTGCTGAGAAATTAACTGAAGAGAAAGATACAGGGGATGATGAACATAGCAAAATAAAATAAAACTTTAAGGGAGATAACTTTACGGGGTAGGATAACTCTATAAGGGAGATAACTATACAAGCGAGGATTATATCTACAGGAGAGACTTTAGGGGGTAGGATAACTCTATAAGGGAGATAAATATACAAGCGAAGATTATATCTACAGGAGAGACTTTAGGGGGTAGGATATCTCTATAAGGGAGATAACTATACAAGCGAGGATTATATCTACAGGAGAGACTTTCGGGGGTAGGATAACTCTATAAGGGAGATAACTATACAAGCGAGGATTATATCTACAGGAGAGACTTTAGGGGGTAGGATATCTCTATAAGGGAGATAACTATACAAGCGAGGATTATATCTACAGGAGAGACTTTCGGGGGTAGGATAACTCTATAAGGGAGATAACTATACAAGCGAGGATTATATCTACAGGAGAGACTTTAGGGGGTAGGATATCTCTATAAGGGAGATAACTATACAAGCGAGGATTATATCTACAGGAGAGACTTTAGGGGGTAGGATAACTCTATAAGGGAGATAACTATACAAGCGAAGATTATATCTACAGGAGAGACTTTAGGGGGTAGGATATCTCTATAAGGGAGATAACTATACAAGCGAGGATTATATCTACAGGAGAGACTTTCGGGGGTAGGATAACTCTATAAGGGAGATAACTATACAAGCGAGGATTATATCTACAGGAGAGACTTTAGGGGGTAGGATATCTCTATAAGGGAGATAACTATATACAAGCAAGGATAAATCTACAGGAGAGACTTTAGGGGGTAGGATATCTCTATAAGGGAGATAACTATACAAGCGAGTAGTATATCTACAGGAGAGACTTTAGGGGGTAGGATATCTCTATAAGGGAGATAACTATACAAGCGAGGATAAATCTACAGGAGAGGATACTCTGTAAGGGAGGTAACTCTAATATATAGGATACTTCTTATAGAATAACTCTTCAGGGGATAATGACATTACAAGGGAAGATAACTCTACAGAAGAGATGATGTATCAATAAATTGGGAGTTACAAAATACTTATATTCCCTGCTAAGATATGCAGTATAATAGTTTGATTTAGTCACTTGGGATTAAAGATTCTTATACTGATAGAAATATTAATTACAGCCCCTTTTTATAAACACTGCCAGTGCTGATGTTATAGGTTGATTTTTATTCATGATCACCTGGTACGTTATCATCAAGGGACTTGATTCTTACCGGCCCAACAACAGTTAATGGATTTTTCTGTGAGAGATACTGATAGACTTCGATATTCTACATCTAGGTATTGTGAATTCCAGCCAACTTGAACATTTTATTATGCATGCCAGTTGCTATTGATTGCGATTTTACTATTTCCTACATCAATGAAGTATCCATAAGCATTGTGATGTATTGTCACGCAAGCCTGTGAGCAGGTCCTTTTAAGTGGCGTTCACATAGAGAGCTGGACGTTAGACCTGCATGTTGTACACGCTCAGGTGTTTTTCTCATCGGTGATGGTAGGAAATCGTAGAAGTTAACTAGGCTTTAGTGATATCGCTAATGGTTTTTCCTAATATCTGTCCGACATGAATCCCAGTTGCGTTTGTAACTAACTTGCAAATTTGGTCATAGTTTTATCTTTGCAAAAAAGCTAGCATGAAATTGGCTTCAAATGATTAAAAAAGTGACACTTGAAAGTGATCAGCGCGCTGCACTGCAAACATACATTTCGCAGTTTAGATCGATAAGTTTTGAGTCCAAATTACATTTTCACACACCAAAATCATCAACGCAATAGACATTTGGAACATTTCATATGCAATAGATATTGGCTGGGTTGGATGTGTTCTGTACAATGAATGGGTGTTGTATATGTTTTTGTAGCAAATTTCTTTAAATGTCATGCGAATAGCATTTCAATCCAACTGCATATTGATCGGAATTATTTCCTCGCTCGCCATCAATAGGTTTCGAGGGTCCCATTTTGCTTTTATAATGCCAGATTTTGTCAGACAGATGGTAGCATTATAAAAATGGTCGGAAGTAGATGTAGGATAACGTTGCCATCTGGTATTGGTGCTACACACATATCCTCATTGAAATGTGGGGTAATTTCTAAAGGTGTTTTTGAGGATTTTCTCAAAAGAAAACAGCCTTGATTCTGTTATATGTTGGCTGTGGTGTACTGAAATTAATGCAACATTCATATTTGAATATCTACAATAAACAACAAGGGAATACAGAAGTTTTAACAAAAACATTATTCAAATTTAAAAACGATAAAACTAGAGCAAAATATTAACAAAGGAAAGATTTACATGGAGACCCCTGATATATAATGACACAATAACTGCACTCATATCTAAGAGGTCTGACGCAGCAAATGGCTGAAGAAGAAGAAACAGAAATTTTCCTGTGTTATGTACAGTATAATATGAAATGTTCGTTATGTTTGAACTTTTGTTGTTTTTGTGGTTGCTATGGAACCACGAATATAAATACAGCGAATATTTCTACTACTCTATAGAATGTACACAAGGACAATCATTTGAAAATTATTTGAGTTTTAAGTTATTGTAGTTCTAAAATGTACACATTTTCAAGTCAAATTTACAATTCCCGATTCCATCAGACCGTGTTCCTATTCTAGTTTATATACAGATTTCACAGACAAGATTATGAACTTTGAATTGAGAGGTTTGATTGTGTAAACTTTGACCTTCAGATCCTGGATGATGGTGGAGATGCAACCCACTTGATGCTGAAGCGCTATCCGGCCATGTTCAACATGATCAAGGGTATCGTGGAGGAGAGCGTGACCGGTGTCCATCGTCTGTACCAACTGTCCAAGTCGGGTAAACTGACCGTCCCCGCAATGAATGTCAACGACTCAGTCACCAAGGTCAGTCAAGGCATCACTTTATCACCAAGGTCAAGGTTTTTCTATATATAGCCAAGGCCTGTCACACCTTGTTTCCATAACCAAGGTCATTAGGTACATTACCTTTCCTTCAAGGTCAATCATTGTATTTCTTTATCATCAAGGTCAGTCAGTACATTTCCTTTGTTATTAAGGGCAATGGGTACATTTCTTTCATTACCAGCATTAATTAATAGATTAATAATTTATACCTTCCTGAAGTTTACTGCTATGGGCGGGAGATTGGTTTCTTAAATCATTGATTTAAGTATGTGCATAATACACTAATTTACCCTACTCACAACTTTTACTGAAATCCTTTTGTTCCTGTTAATGTTTATTCAGATAATTTGAAGTTAAATAAATTTGCTATCAATTTACTATACAATGAATTACATGTTATATTGATAATGATGTATATATATTATATATCATTTCATTCTTCAAATTAAGATAATGGCATTAGTATTGAATATTAATGAAAACTTGTTCAGATAACTCTAGGGATTTTAAATTGTCCATTTACATTATGTAATTACTAAAAAACTAAAATGACACTAGATTTTGTAAAATTTATTTTTCCATTGCAGACCAAATTTGACAATCTGTACAGCTGTAGAGAATCCATCCTTGATGCGTAAGTATTTTGTGTAGAGCATTTTTTAACTGACAGCCAGAGTTACTTCCCTTCAATGTTACGTGACCTACATGTAAACTAGTTTAAATGATTCTTTTGAATCCCTGTTTAATTAAGAAACTCAATAATTTTTTTTACATTGAAAAATGGATAGGAAATTATGTGTTAAATTGAACAACCACTACCTAAAACAAAGACCATCAAAGTCTGTTATAACGAGCTTCCTTGTAGCTACAATATATATCCCCTTGTAGTTACAATATATCCCTTACACACCTGTAAAAGAGATGATGTGGGGACCACATTTGCACTGGGAGATATTTCTGTGGTATGTGATGGGAGCAGGCTATACACTGGAGGTGTCTGGCTGTACCGTACACAGCAGCATTGTAACATGTGTATACCTGAGATTTCCACCAAGGCATCTCTGTAAAATGGTAAACAGATAACTAGCGTCAGTGGCAGTAGATATGAAGGGTATAGGAAGGATAGCAAGGCCTGAAAAACGTGACAGTATGTACTTTATAAAGGTCACAGGAATGAATAGCACCGTAACATGTCTGTGTACCAGATGTAAGCTTCCTAGTGCTGCAGTGTTGAACAATCGCTTAACTGGCAATTACAGGATTCGTTATCGAGTTCTGATGTAGTTTCATCATTGTTTTGTAAGGAATGTGAAAATATTTAATCTTAATAATGATAAGATAAAATAGAAATAGTTTGGTAATAGAATATGAAGTAAATTTTTGAGACTTACAAAAAATGGTTATGATCAAAGTTTCCTGAACTTTTATTTGAATTTTCACTTATCAAAAAGAAGAATTGTACATGGCCTATAATTTCAGCCAATCGTTCCAATCGGTTATAAAAAAAATAGATTTTGTGAATAGCGAATTTATGTCGGAAGAACCATCATGATTAAGAAATAAATGGCTGCAACATTAGGTTTGTGATAAAATCTGGTTCAATTACAACTCAAGTTCAAACAATGTCTTTTTACTAAATTTACAAGTTGTTTGATTAATATGAGATTGACATTTGGTCAGAATTAGGTTCAATCTCAACTTCACATCAAATAGTACACCTAGTATATATGAACAACATACTACTGACACATATATAAGTAGAATGAATAAAAAAAAAGTTTGCAAGAAGTTTCTCAGACAATAGGTAAAATATTTGTGAAAATTAAGCAGATTACCATACTACCGGGGGTATTCCTGTAAAAACCTTTGAATTTGAAGTGATCATCAGTAAGAAGTACTCCATACTGTAGAATCAGCTCAATTCTATTTTCTTGTACCCTTCATAATACTGGACTCTCCTGAGATGAGTAAAAAGATCTTTGATTAAGAAGCTGATCATGAGATTGAGAAGTAGGTCAAGAAATTCATGAACCAGATTAAGAGATTAAAGATCCTCAAAGTTTACCAAAAAGTTACCGAGTTGATCTGTTGGGGGGGGGGGGGAGGAGGATTATTAACTATATCATGTATAATGAGGAATGTTTTGTAGACAAATTACCATCTGATAATTGACTCAGGGGAGATAACTGTCTGATAATGTGAGGATTTTGTCAATTTCAGACTAAAGAGGACAACCGATGTCATGTTTGGAGGGAAGCAAGTGGTTGTCTGTGGATATGGCGAGGTGAGTTGACAAGGTCATCAGGTCAAGGTCATTGGAAATTGTCAATGACATTGTCAAAGACAACAAAATGATTGACATGTAGATATGTGGGTATCGGATGAGAAATGTTTAAGTTGTTAGTATTTAAGGTCATGATAGGCGACTTGATGTACAGATAAATTATGACCTGCTTTACAAAATGTAGACCAGGAAATCTTCAATGTAGTTTAACTTCAATCTTTTGGCCTTTTCACCAAGGGCAAATTTATCATGACAGTGAATATTAGTACACAGCATACCATATAGTAATGACATGTGAAGGGCGAAATTAACACTGGACAAACATGGAATGGGTGAAGGGCCAATATTGGACTGGATGAAAGTGTCCTGGTATACAGTACTGGTCAGCCATTAGTAACAGTAAATAATAGCTTGTATTTAATACAGGGGTGGGTGAAGGGCCAATATTGGACGGGATGAAAGTGTCCTGGTATACAGTACTGGTCAGCTATTAGTAACAGTAAATAATAGCTTGTATTTAATACAGGGGTGGATGAAGGGCCAATATTGGACTGGATGAAAGTGTCCTGGTTTGCAGTACTGGTCAGCCATTAGTAACAGTAAATAATAGCTTGTATTTAATACAGGGGTGGGTGAAGGGCCAATATTGGACTGGATGAAAGTGTCTTGGTATACAGTACTGGTCAGCCATTAGTAACAGTAAATAATAGCTTGTATCTAATACAGGGGTGGGTGAAGGGCCAATATTGGACTGGATGAAAGTGTCTTGGAATACAGTACTGGTCATCCATTAGTAACAGTAAATAATAGCTTGTATCTAATACAGGGGTGGGTGAAGGGCCAATATCGGACTGGATGAAAGTGTCCTGGTTTACAGTACTGGTCGGCCATAAGTAACAGTAAATAATAGCTTGTATCTAATACAGGGGTTTGTGATAGTCATAGCTAGTAATTTGTGAAGCCACATTTTCTTCTAGGATCTCTGTAGTTTTAATGTTTAACTCATTCACCCCTGAAGGCACATTTGAACTCTTCCAATTCAAAGGTTGGAATAGTTCATTTTCAAATTTCAGTGGTGAATCAGTTAAATGTTTTACAAGTGTTCAAAGCATGAAAAAAAAAAAAAAGAAGATAATTAGCTTTAAATTTAGTCCGATTTCTTTGGTTTTCTGTCTGATGTGGTATTCAAATTAGTTGTACAGTATGTGTACAGCAAAAAGTGTACGGGTGACTGTCCTGAAAATTGACATTACACTGTCAACCTGGTATTGGTACAGGGTCTGTCTGTTCAACAAATAACATTCACATGTTTGAAGTATAGCCTTGTTCACAAGCACCAACTTTAATTCCTTGTTGTAACACAAATAATTTTAGTGTTACATTTCGTCTTATCTTTTGCATATCGCTCCAGGTTGGAAAAGGTTGTGCCTCGGCCCTGAAGGGACTCGGCTGTAGTGTGATGGTGACGGAGATTGACCCGATCTGTGCTCTCCAGGCATGGTAAGTCTAACTTCTGTATGCCTCAACATCCCAGCTCAATGGTCTGTCTCAGAACTCCAACTCTGTGTTCCATTTAAATAATCCAACTCAATGGTCCATATAAATAACTCAATGGTCCATATAACTAAACTCAGTGGTTAATATAGATAAACTCAATGGTCAATATAGATAAACTCAATGGTCCATATGAATAAACTCAATGGTCCATATGAATAAACTCAATGGTCAATATAGATAAACTCAATGGTCAATATAAATAAACTCAATGGTCAATATAGATAAACTCATGCAGTGGTCAATATAGATAAACTCAATGGTCCATATAAATAAACTCAATGGTCAATATAGATAAACTCAATGGTCCATATAAATAAACTCAATGGTCAATATAGATAAACTCAATGGTCCATATAAATAAACTCAATGGTCAATATAGATAAACTCAATGGTCCATATAAATAAACTCAATGGTCAATATAGATAAACTCAATGGTCCATATAAATAAACTCAATGGTCAATATAGATAAACTCAATGGTCCATATAAATAAACTCAATGGTCAATATAGATAAACTCAATGGTCCATATAAATAAACTCAATGGTCAATATAGATAAACTCAATGGTCAATATATATAAACTCATGCAGTGGTCAATATAGATAAACTCAATGGTCCATATGAATAAACTCAATGGTTAATATAATAAATTCAATGGTCCATCTGCAAAACACATATATTTCAATAAATAAAGATCAATGAAATGTTGGTGTTTTACAAAACAATAGAGTATAAAACTTTTTTCCCATGTTACTGACCCCAGCTTTTCGAAGAATGCTAAAAGAAATATATAATTTGTTAGACATTGTCTATAATGTATTTTTGCTTGGTCTGTTGACAGCATGGACGGTTTCCGCGTGGTGCGGCTTGACGAGGTTTGTCGACAAGTCGACATTCTCATTACTTGCTCAGGTAAGATTTCACTCCAGAAGATTAACTCATTCACCCCTGTAATTTCATAATGAACTATTCCAACCTTTGCATTGGAAGAGTTTAAATGTGTCTTCAGGGGTGAATGAGTTAAACAAGAAATCAAAAGTCATATAAAGGACATATCATGAAATTAGATCTTTTTAATGTGTTAACACAGATAACATGTTTTCATTTGCAATCTATTGATATTTTTCTATTCTAAATTTTATAGTTTTGTCGATATTTCTTCCTACATTGGACCCAAGGTCCCTTCAGTATAAATTCCAACAATCGTGCTGTTGTTATATTGACAACTATTCTACATTTTCCAGGAAATAAGAATGTAGTAACACGTACTTTCATGGATCGCATGAAGACTGGATGTATCGTGTGTAACATGGGACACTCCAACACAGAAATAGATGTGGTAGGTAGTAATGGAATTAACTCATTCATAATGAACTATTCCAACCTTTGAATTGGAAGGGTTCAAGTGTGTCTTCAGGGGTTAATGAGTGAACACACTGTATTTTACCGATGTTAAAGTGTTTCTAACCTACCTGTGAATTGGACATTATAAAGATAATGATACCTTATTTACATCTAGTCCAGTTATGTAGGATGTTGCCCTCAAGCTGATTAAAAAGCACAACCCTACAGACTGACTTGTGTTTCTAATTAGCACAATGATGATATTCTGTGAAGTCACAGGTGTAAAACCACATACATCTAGGCACCCTCAATTAATGAACGTAAGATGTGTACCACTCATGATCAGGATGTAGTCATTTTAAAGATTAAATAAAATTGAAATGAAAGTGTAAATCAAAATTCAAAATGATAATGCTTCTCAAATATGTCGCCTGAAATTCAAAAGAATGTTTTGAAAATTAGATCAGTATTAATGAAACGTTCATTGTTAGGGTTGAAAACAGACATCTGAAGATAAGGAAGGTTTAAACACTTTTGTATATAATATATTCTTAGATGTTTCGATTAAAACAAAATGAATTAATGTTTCAGGGAAGTCTGAGAACCCCGGATCTAACCTGGGAGAAAGTCAGGTCACAGGTCGATCACATCATCTGGCCTGACGGCAAGAGAATTATCCTACTGGCTGAGGTATGGGGCCCTGCATTGTCTGTCACCTGTACCAAGCAGCTGATGGGCCGTTATCTTTTGTCTCCACACCACACATAGACACATTATATGTTGGTGTAGATAATTCACTAGTATCGATTTATTGATAATATATAGCTAAGCACATCTGTCTTTGAGTATCAGAACTTATTCTTTTAGGATAACTTTTATCAGAAAGTCATTTTGGTTAACTTGAACCTTTGGAATCACTTTGTTTTACATCATTTAGAGTTTATCGGGATTTTGATAAAATGATAGGTTGTTTAAACTAATTATGATATGTAAATTAAGCCAAGAAGAAGTTAAAACTTAATTACAACTTGATCTGGCTACAAATTGAAGTCTGATTATCTGAGGGGTCAAGTTTTACTTCCCATGAAATTTCTTTTCGATTTATATCAATTTTTTTGCTGACACCAAAATAGACTCATTGTTTCACAGTGTGTAAATATTCTATAAACTAAATAGTTATGTATATTGTTATCGTTTGTGTTTAGAGTCGCCTGTATATTGTTATCGTTTGTGTTTAGGGTCGCCTGTATATTGTTATCGTTTGTGTTTAGGGTCGCCTGTGTATTGTTATCGTTTGTGTTTAGGGTCGCCTGTATATTGTTATCGCTTGTGTTTAGGGTCGCCTGTATATTGTTGTCGTTTGTGTTTAGGGTCGCCTGTATATTGTTATCGTTTGTGTTTAGGGTCGCCTGTATACTGTTATCGTTTGTGTTTAGGGTCGCCTGGTGAATCTCAGCTGCTCCAGTGTACCCTCTTTTGTGGTGTCCATCACCGCTGGCACTCAGGTGAGTTAATGAGGTAGTGGCCAGGTGTGTTACCAGGCCCAGTGCCAGCTCTATCTTGTAGCTCTCTATAACATCAAAGATTGCTATGGTCAAGTGTTAAGGGAAATGAAATCAAACTAAAATTTAGGACTTGATGACTAAATGTGATTTTATCCATGGTTGAATTTTTTGATACCATACCGTACCTTGGGGTGTATGGATGGATTAAATTAAACTCACTGTCTCACTAATGTCTCTTGTTTGATACTATACCGTACCTTGGGGTGTATGGATGGATTACATTAAACTCCCTGTCTCACTAATGTCTCTTGTTTGATACCATACCGGACCTTGGGGTGTATGGCTGGATTAAATTAAACTCCCTGTCTCACTAGTGTCTCTTGTTTGATACCATACCGTACCTGGGGGTGTATGGATGGATTAAATTAAACGCCCTGTTTCACTAATGTCTCTTGTTTGATACCATACCGATCCTTGGGGTGTATGGATGGATTAAATTAAACTCCCTGTCTCACTAATGTCTCTTGTTTGATTTTCAATCCATCTCACCTATAATTTGGTCATCCTTTATTTAAGTAACTGAGCCACCTGTATGTGTTGTATTTCAGGCCCTAGCTCTGATAGAGCTATACAATGCTCCTGCTGGCAGATACAAGCAAGATGTCTACCTCTTACCAAAGAAAATGGGTAAGTTCAGGGATCAGGTTCATTGCAGTGATCTGCCTTCCATTCCTGATATTGAATATCTTTAAGATTTTGTGGGTTGTTGGGTCTCTAAAAGGTGCCCCCCACCCCTCCCCTACATACAATTCTGGAAAATCTGTAAAGGGTTCATCACTATCATCTATAGTTGTAAGATTCTATCATGCATATTGTTTCAACAAACGATTTTTTTTCCAAGAGGGCCCACATGTAGTATATGTTAGCTGAGTTGGGAGAATTTCAAGTTTAGCCACTGGCTTATAGTTCTAGCTTTCTTTTATTTGCAACATAAAATGTATCCTGATAGAGCAATACTGATACAATATTTGCTTTATCAATGAATTACTGGTATATTAGCCCAAAAAATATTTACATATTTCTAAATTTTAATAAATTTCTGTTTTGGTGTTTACAGATGAATATGTGGCCAGTCTCCATTTACCTACGTTTGATGCTCACCTGACGGAACTCAATGATGAACAAGCAAAGTATCTGGGACTCAACAAGACCGGACCATTCAAGCCAAACTACTACAGGTACTGACAGCTGGTCAAGCTGGCCATTCAGGGGATCAAGGACAAGACAATAGCTTGTAACCAATATCAAAAGCCTTAAAAAGTCATCAGTGGTTTCCCATAGCTTCAATCCTAAATATAATTTTTCTGCTTTTTCATAACCTGGCAGTTTTGCCACTCTGCAGGGATATTTGGGTTTTTTCCACATGACCATAATTACCAAATGTTCGTCGAAAAATCTGCTTTGTGGTTTTCTTAAGAGAAAAATGGACAGTAATAAACTCGAAATTGATAAAGTCTGAAATTATGCATACCAGGTAAATATTATCTGAAACATCTCTCTTGAAATTGAAAGTATTTTTTATAAAATGCTGTTATTCCCCCTTTGGTTTTAATCCCTGTAAATGCTGTAGCCAATATGTACATAACATTTTTACCGACAAACTTTTCAGACTGAAAGAAGGGAGATAACTCATAAATTAAACAGAAATTTTAGAAACCAGAAGTTCAACATCAAATAGCTGGTGATAATTATAATGCAATTTTACAAGTCTGATTAAAACCTTTCCATGATATGGTTCATTCATTCCGGGACGCTTTAGATCACGGAAAATTTGATGGTCTACACATGAGGTACGACACGAGACATACCAGCAGTGTATCCACCAGTGCCCCCAACATATGTATATATATAAATGTTTGTTATACTGCATCCTCAAAAGATATATCTGACTATATATCAACTTTGCATGGTGCTACAACCCATCATCTTGAACTTTAACCTAGTGACACCATATACCAGACAAGCTGTTATTGTCAAAGTACAGCGGGATATGTATTAAAACTAGGGATGTACACTTATGTAGCTCAAAGTCTGTGTAGTGTTGTTATCAGATGCCTCCTTGATGGGAATGAAGTCTTGATTTGATATGTAAGGATACGCTGGGCAATTCAGTACTGGAATACTAAATTGGAATACCAATATTTTACTGTACTAATATTAAATATCAGTATTTTCATCTGGTCCACCTTAAAAAATTGGTCACACTGAAGTCTTGTTTCCCATATCTGTGCTGAGTATTCAGAATATACCTGTCTATAAACTACAGGTGTGCAGAGGTTTATGAAGGACACACCCACCTACATTTTTACACAATTGTAATTAGTTATATTTTTTATTGGTTATAAGTTTAAACAAAACATCCACCAGCATGTAAGGTAATATAACTACCAGGACCCATGCATTCTATTGTTTAACTTATGCTACTAAGTTGTGCCTATTTAATTATATATTAAGGTTGTATGCCACCTTACACATTATGACCGATTTATTGGAGTTATTTCCCCCTTTTTAATTAGATCCTGTTCTTAATGAGAATCCCCTGAGTGTTATCTATGCATGTGTCATCTTGTACCTTTCAAGTGTCATCTATAAATTGGTCAAGGCTGTAATAGAACACGTTCAGGAACATTTATTTAACATGCTTCTCTGCATCTCAAAACTTCTTTCTTAAACAGGTGATTTTATAGTATTAGGTCACCTACATCTTGAAACCCGAACAGTGTTTTAGATAAAACCATGAATGAACTTTGGGATTCTCAGAAATTCTAAATCTGCAAATAGATTTCTAGTACAAACTTACTTCTAACTTATATAAAATGGATTACAGTAAACATATACAGTACATATACATCTTAAAATGAAAAGGGTCTAAACTGGACAACACACAGAATAGTTTATTCTGTTGAAACAGACAGCAGTTTAGATTACAGTGTACTTTCTACAATTGATAAAAAAAGTTGTCAAAAAGCTGATTAAGTTTAACATGGCTGAGGGGGAAATGAACATCTTACAGACATTTTTGACTGTTTTGTTTTAATGATGCAAGGCTTTGTAATTATTTGTATTGTCTGCTTCTAAACTTCATCTTTGATGTTTGTTACAGATACTGAAAACCTACGCAACATCATCACCATTCCACGACTCCAGGACAACCCGTCACGATCACACAACAGGAAGTGGGCATTCCAAGTAACCATGACAACAGTGATGCAAGGAAATCACCAGTTACTGTCGTCATGGTTACGCTGTAATTGTTAGGATAACTCGCACAGAAAGAGCCTGTTAATAGGGATTTTTAATGATGAACATGATTTCAAATAATGATGTTGATTTTGTTTATGATAATTCAAATAAATTATCAAAGTTGTCTGCCGTATAATGAAATGTTATAATCAAGCATACTTGTAATGTTTTACCTGAAATTTAATATGAAATTATGAGAGTTGATATCTGTAAGGTGTCTATACATTTTATTGCAATTTCTTTGAAAAAAATTGTTGAAATTTAAAGAATGTCCGTAATAATACGTTGCAAACCCATAAGAATGTTCTGTACAATCAGACTTGTTAAATATTAAAATAATTTCAGATCAAAACTCTCATGATAATCATCCGGGTTCAACTGTATCAGTAGATCTTTGATATGAAATTTTGAGTACCATTGTGAAAGTAAATGAAGTTTATGTTACGGTAAAAACCACCATTTTTTGTGCTTCAACTTCTCTTACATAGATTGTAGCTTTAAATTATCAGCAAAAATTATTATATATGTTAAAATTATATCTTATTAGGTGATGGATTAATATGTTGTTCTGTAAATAAAAAACATGTTTTTACATAAGAGAGGAAGCCCACAGCTGTATATATACAACTTAGTTATGAGATGGGCTATGCAGAATTTTAACCTTTTTTTTTTTATAGTCCGTTCAGATTTTACGACACTGACAATCTGTCTGATGTTGCTTTGTTTATACATAGTCAATCAAACACTTCAATTTGCGGCATTAAATTAAATTATTATGAAAGAGTTTACGTAATCGAACAGGCATTTAGAATTTTTTGTGAATATCAAAAATACTCTAATAATAAAGCACGTTTAATAAAGCACTGCATATCATCTGTCAAAGTTTGTTGGACAATTTGAGAGAATTAACTTCAGAAATTTCCAAATGCACATAGATTTAATGTTTGTTGACCTGTGTTTCACTGTTCACTGTCATATTTTCATTTGTACAGATGACTGATACGTACAGGTAATGTAATAGTGAACCAACATTTGTGGAACCTTTTAGATTTTTGTGCAAACTATCATATATGCCTATTCCGTCTTTGCGTATTGCAGAGTTATCTGCTCTTGTGAGCAGGTATTGATTGTTACCTCATTGGTGTGTGTGAGAAAATTACGTCGTTTTCTCAAAAATTGATGACGTCACTCTCACAAACAAATGACGTAACAATCAATACCTGCTCACAAGACCAGATAACTCTGCAATCCGAAAAGTATTATGGAATACACTGTTGTGTATAAAGTGTCATAAATTAAGGGGGGAAACAAATTCCAAAACAGAAAATAAATTCTTAAACAGTTCTACCACCATATGCATGTATATCAATTTTTTCTGTTAATGGAACCCCATTTTGTTTATTTCAAAGATTAAAACAAAATATTGTGTGGGGTCAAACTTTTGATTTTACTTGCATCAACTAATGAAGACGTATCAATTTATCCAAAGTTATTTTCATATCAATGGTATTACAAAAAAGAACAATTTGTAAAAAGTTCTTTGACTTCTACTCAATACATTAGGTATTGAGTAACTCAACAGGCTTAGGATGTTTGTCTGTTTCTTTCCATGACTAGGTGCTAGAGGTGCGAGGGAGATTTGTGATAAAATATTGATGTATAAATTTGTTGAAATTCATTGATTTTTAAAATTACCTTAGTGTATTACTTTGTGCTAGGTCTGTTGTAGATTGTCATTCACGTCAGTGTGTTTAATATTACTGTGGATTGAATCAATACTGAAAGTTCGTTACTTGTTCTGATTATGAGAGAAATTTTTTGACTGCTTTCATATATGATGTAGCTCTATTACCTTTGTCTATTGGTAGGAACAAAATATTAAGCAAAATTAAGTAAATTGAAACTGCAAAAATTTACTGCAGTCTTCACAGTTATTTAAGTACTGGCAAAACCAATCCCATGAAAAATAATGAAAAAAGGGGTTTATTACTATTCATTAACTCATTCACCCCTGAAATTCATAATGCGCTGTCACAACCTTTGAATTGTAAGACTACGAATGTAGCTTCAGGGGTGAATGAGTTAATCAATATATCAATCCAGAGTTGTTCCCCTTGAATAAGAAAGACTAATTGTTGAGAGACAGGAGAGAGTCCTAGCGTTACATTTATTTTGAGGTTGTAATCATTTATAAAAAAAATCACAATGGATTAATTCTTCAGTGTCCACATGAGATATTCTAAAATGTTTCCTTCATCTTTCTTTGTTAATATACTTTGTTTTTGGATCATTTTAACTGGAGATTGTAAATTTGAATTCTGCTTGTATTCATATAATATTACTGATAACACTTGAAAAAAATCAGAATGAATTTTGATTGATGTGTGATTCTAGCATTGGTACACCTGTTAAGAAAAAATGTTTGATTTATATTCAAAGCTTCGAGTATAGTGGAAATCTCAGGTTTAAACAAAGAATTATGTCAATATTAAGTACAAATTATATTTATTGCTTATTTAAAAAGAATAAAACAATTGTATAAAAATTGATGAATATGTACATTTTGTAAATGTTTCAGAACCCGAGATTGGCTGGAATTTTCAAGATAAAAATTATATACTTATATGTATATATATGTACTGCGTTTAGTTTACCTGTAAATAGTGATGAGATATGATTACCTATGGTAGTTCTAGCGTTGTACTCAAGAGAAATCTTCATGCTAGCATGTTGAGATGTGTTTGTTTTAAATGCCTCATTATATATCTAGTATTTGAAAGTAGGGCGTCAAGATGTCGTGACTGTTTTAAACTTTATTATTCCAGCAAAAAAGTACAACTGATATTCTTGTACATGAGTTCTGGGAACAATACATGTGTACTTGGAACTACAGTCTTTATGTGATTCATATATACATGTATGTGTGTGTACTAAGAATTATATTGATTTTGTTGTATAAGGTACATGACTTTATGTACTAGGAACTTTGCTTGTATACTAAGAACAGACCCTAAACGGGGCAAGGAGCACTGCAAGGCAGCTAGCCACTGGTCCATCTCTTTAGAAGTCGGCGCTCCTGCCCCTAACAACTTTTGAGAACTAAAAAAGTGCCGAAATGTTTTCATTTGTACAAACTTTGATTAAGTACCCTTTCTGATGCCCTTCTCAAAAAATTGAGATTGTTTCAGTGTGTGGATGTGTGCGTGTGGCCAAAAGGATGGTACAACATGGCAATATTGCATACTTGCATCAGATTTATGCTAGACCAATGTCGTTGTCTTTTGTCTTCTATGTGATTAGAACAGCCTGTATTTTAACCTTTTTTTTTTAATGTGTTGACAAGGAACTGCAGGCAGAGAAAATTAAAGTCTACACAATTGAACACATTACTGGACCACCATGCTTTGATCCTTACTCAACTAACTTGGTGCAGCTCGGTCACTTAACAGGAAAAGTAGTGAACCAATTAAATGGCCAGTTAAGTCTTATTTATCCAATCTGTTATTGTTAACAAATTTATTTTTGACATTCAAGAATATGAGATATTTAAAGGTATAATATCATACACCCCTCCCACACATTATACAGGCAATCAAAGGATCTTCAGTTGAGCTTTCAAAGTTCACATTGAGGTTGCCGAGTTCAGATTGAGGTTGCCATCATTTATGGTTGATTACATGTCTGTGTTGACAAACTGTAGGCAACCTTTTTATGTTGGTACTTATACCTTAATATTGTAATTTTTTGTTATAGATTTTCTGAGCTATAAATTTACTTTGTTAATTGCATTTAACTTCCCAACAGCCATGTTAGTTATCCTTTTACAAAGCCAATCGGGCAAAAAGATACATCACCTGTAAAAATCTGGTAGTTATAGGTTTGTCAACCATCATTTTTTCTTGTCACTCGAGTGTTATTTTTCCATTGTTTTTTATTCAACAGAATGTTTAAACTTTGTTATTTAGGTGAACATCTCTTAATGCAGATGTCATCACTGAATTCAAACTTGGATTCAAACCGAAGATTTGTTTTAATAGCAACACGATTCAACTTTATCGGACATAACTACATTGGATGTATATTGAGCCAATCAGTGATTTGTTACATTGAATTTGATTGGTTCCTATTTCTACTAGTCACAGATCATGACCTATGGATGTGGTCGTTTCATATGTACTCGTTTTGGAGGCTACTTAAGAATCATCACTTGTTTGGTCTGTCCAAATTGAGGAATACTTTCATAAAAATATGGAAAGAATAAAAAAAATCTTAGCAATAAAGTCTGTTTTTGTTTTGATTTTAAATATATGTGCATAGATGAGTGTTAACCATATTAGTTAGATTAACTGTCTAATTCAACATCATATTGGACTCGCCATATTGGTTAGATTAACTGTCTAATTCACCTCCCTGTTGGCAAACCATATTGGTTAGATTAACTGTCTAATTCACCTCCCTGTTGAACACACCGTATTGGTTAGATGCACTGTCTAATTTACCCCCTGTGGACACACCATATTGGTTAGAATAGCTGTCTAATTCATCCCCCTGTGGACACACCATATTGGTTAGATTAACTGTCTTATTCATCCCCCTGTGGACACACCATATTGGTTAGATTAACTTCTAATTCAATCCCCTGTGGACACACCATATTTGTTAGATTAACTTTTAATTCACCTCCCTGTTAAACACACCATATTGGTTAGATGCACCGTCTAATTTACCCCCTGTGGACCCACCATATTGGTTAGATTAACTCTAATTCAACCCCCTATAGGACAAACCATATTTGTTAGATTAACTGTCTAATTCCCCTCCCTGTTGAACACACCATATTGGTTAGATGCACTGTCTAATTCCCCTCCCTGTTGAACACACCGTATTGGTTAGATGCACTGTCTAATTCCCCTCCCTGTTGAACACACCGTATTGGTTAGATGCACTGTCTAATTCCCCTCCCTGTTGAACACACCGTATTGGTTAGATGCACTGTCTAATTCCCCTCCCTGTTGAACACACCATATTAGTGAGATTTACTGTCTAATTTACCCCCTGTAGACACACCCTATTGGTTAGATTATCTATTTAATTCACCCCCCCCCCTGGGGACACACCGAATTGGTTAGATTTACTGTCTAATTCGACCCCCTGTGGACACACTATATTGGTTAGACTAACTGCCTAATTCAACACCCTGTGGACACACCATATTGCTTAGAATAGCTGTCTAATTCAACCCCCTGTTGGACTCGCCGTATTGGTTAGATGTACTGTCTAATTTACCCCCTGTAGACACACCCTATTGGTTAGATTATCTATTTAATTCACCCCCCCCCCTGTGGACACACCGTATTGGTTAGATTTACTGTCTAATTCGACCCCCTGTGGACACACTATATTGGTTAGATTATCCATTTAATTCACACACCCCTGTGGACACACCATATTGGTTAGACTAACTTTCTAATTTACCCCCTGTGGACACACCGTATTGGTTAGATTTACTGTCTAATTCAACCCCCTGTGGACACACTATATTGGTTAGATTATCTATTTAATTCACACACCCCTGTGGACACACCATATTGGTTAGATTAACTGTCTAATTTACCCCCTGTGGACACACCATATTTGTTAGATTAACTGTCTAATTCAACACCCTGTTGGACTCGCCGTATTGGTTAGATGAACTGTCTAATTCAATACCCTGTGGACACACTATATTGGTTAGACTAACTGCCTAATTCAACACCCTGTGGACACACCATATTGGTTAGACTAACTTTCTAATTTACCCCCTGTGGACACACCATATTTGTTAGATTAACTGTCTAATTCAACACCCTGTTGGACTCGCCGTATTGGTTAGATGAACTGTCTAATTCAATACCCTGTGGACACACTATATTGGTTAGACTAACTGCCTAATTCAACACCCTGTGGACACACCATATTGGTTAGACTAACTTTCTAATTTACCCCCTGTGGACACACCATATTTGTTAGATTAACTGTCTAATTCAACACCCTGTTGGACTCGCCGTATTGGTTAGATGAACTGTCTAATTCAATACCCTGTGGACACACTATATTGGTTAGACTAACTGCCTAATTCAACACCCTGTGGACACACCATATTGGTTAGACTAACTTTCTAATTTACCCCCTGTGGACACACCATATTTGTTAGATTAACTGTCTAATTCAACACCCTGTTGGACTC